CCCCCTCCCCTTATTTTTAGACGAAAATGAAGCCCTAAGGGCCGAAAAAAAATTTTAATGCCACTCAGAGGCTGGATGAACGCCCCCCCCCCCATCTGTCGTCTGAATCCGCCACTGAGATGTACAAGACAGCGGTAAGAATCTGCCCATCACTCCATCCATGGTTTCTTCACGAAAATTTCGCGAGCCCTGCACTGTGTCTGACTAAAATTTAGAATTAATGGATTTTAATACTAATGTAGGTCAACGCCAGGGAGATACTTTTGTATCGCGCATTGAAACATGTCATATCTGATTAGTTCCCTGCCTGTGAATATTTATCAAAACACATGTGACCTGTTTGTTTGTTCTTCTTGTTTTCTTTTTATTTTCTTTTTATTTTATTTATTTCTTTTATTTTTATTATTTTTTTTACAGTGGAAAATGAAGATAACTGTGGCTCTTCACCGTGCATTAATGATGGAACGTGTATAACTGTCGGGCGCAGTTACCAATGCGACTGCCGTCGGGGATTTTATGGAAGACAGTGCCAGCTTGGTAAGTCGTCATAAGACTGCAACTACCGTTTGCTGAATTTTACAACGCTATATATCAATAAATGTGTGTTAAAAATCCAGACGCATCGAAAAGAAAGCACTACATTTGCCTCTAAAACAAACAACAATAAAACATATTGTATAATGCACTTCTTATCTCAGGTTGTGGATTCCGTGAGTTAGGTCTTAAAGTGCCGAATACGCGACGAATTCCAGATAAAGACATTACTGCCTCGTCGAGAAAAGTCGAAGGGCGCTCGTCATACCGTGGAAGAATTGGAGTAGAAAAATTGGGATCGTGGGAGGATGGATGGTGCGCAGCAACTACAGACACAGCACCTTACATTCAAGTGTTCTTTGGTAAGCCTTAGTGTATTAACTCTCCATCCCAAGTAAAGTGTTGAAATTTAGGATTGCTCATCGGCAAATGCAATACATTAAACAACAATCCACCGTCTAAGTAAGCTGTGTTGAAAGAGTTTTGGTATAAATGGATCAACTCTTTGACGTCCACTTTGGTCGTTTTTGCATATTTTTATTCCAGGACCAATTAAGCTTTCCATTTAAGCTATTAAGATGGTAATAAGCAAAATTTGCCAGGATAGATCTTTCCACTGGTAGCTCATTTAGCAAATGCTGCAAATGTTGAGATGAAGACAAAATAACAAGCCTCATTTGGCTTAATTAGACCCAATTAGCAAAAACATGTGTGTTTAGTGTTGGAAATCCCTTTTTCGGCCATTCCTTGGGTAAATGCGGTTATTCCCTAAAAATTGGCCGACGGCAAAGGGTTATCTTCTTGTTGTTGATAAGGTTGGGAAGGAACTTGAGCAAGAATTTTTTTTTCTATCTTCACCGAAATGAACAAAAATGTTGATTGGAGATGGACTGTTTGAAATCTGCATATTCTTACCAATTGACGCTTTTTTCCTCTTTTTATTCAGGATATCTCACGAATGTCACCGTTATTGAAACAGAAGGGGTCACGGATGGAGTCACACCTATGTGGGTTGAAAGCTATTACGTATCGACCAGTAACAACTCAGAAACTGAATCATTTGTCAACTACACTGAAGGTGGAAACATCAGAATTGTAAGTTTTCTTTATATATTTTTCTTTAATCAAGGATGTCTGGTGTTAACGTGAGATTTGACTTGGCATTTTTATGACTACTTAGTTTCGTACTGCACGGCGTGTACGGCAATTTTATCTGAGGAGTGCCGTACATGCCGTGCGGAAAAAATGGCCCAGTCAAATCTCACGTTGACGCCAGACATCCTTGATTACACTACGCTCTAGTCCTTCTATTGAGCACTCTGACGATAGGCGTGCATATGCATCAACTGGTACATACATTTTTCTTTATATCTTTATACCTTGTCTTCATTTTCATTTTTCGATAAGAGACGAAAACAAGGCACTCTTTCATTTCACGCACTGATTCATCGTCACCTTACGTCCCCAACTAACATTAAGCCAATATTTGGCAAATGTGGCGTAGCTATTGCAGCCTGTTCAAATAGGTAAAGGGGATTCCTATTTACGTAGTAAAGGTTCGGCAGGAACAATTTTGAATAGAAGCCTCGAAGGGACTTTGTCCTTTGTCTACAGCCTCAATACCTTTTACACAAACAAAACGACAAACAGCATTAACAGCTATGACAATCTAAGGTTTATTGTAATGGTACTAATTAATGTCGTCTAATTTGCAGTTCAGAGCAAATGAGGATATCAATGGCAGGAACGTTTCTCTTTATGGAACAAGCGCTCATTACATTCGAATCCACCCGGTCACCTACCATGGGACATCAGCTTGCTTGCGCACGGCAATGTATGGATGCGACTCAGGTAAAATGTGAGACAATGACAATGTTAATGTATATTGCCCACTGTGAACAGTCATGTGGATTGGCTTAACCTGGTATGCAAAGAGAATCCTTTGTTGGCTATTTATTTTCATTTATTTTATTTATTTTTAGAGGACTTTCCTTCACTGGGCGTCGTGCTTCAACGCTCCGATGATGAGCCAAAGGAAAGGTCATCTGGGTTTGATACTCGTTACGCAGGTGAGTGTAAAGTTTCAGGCCTTTTGGAATTAGATTTGTTTGTTTCTGTTTTGTTTCTTCTTTGTTTTATAATTTTTTTATTTGTTTTCTTTTTCTTTACGAGTTTCCCTCACCCATTAGCCCATTTTACAAGTTAAAGTTGGCCTTGTTTTTTGATATAACCTTTTCTGTTTTGTGAACTGTGGAAGGTTTCAACCCAGGAGTCATTTCAAAAGTAGGTTGAGTTTGATCGTTCGGGTGAACGTAGTATTGAATAGGACTGTTG